AGGAGTAGAACCAGGCACTGAAGACTCCTGATGGGCAGTTCTGACACAGCCTTTTCTGTTTGATTTCTTTTTTGTCCTATTAACTGTTTGATTTGGGGAAAATGCACATTATTACTTTACCTCTCAATTTTGATGATGCTGAAGTAAGAAGGCCACGTACTGACAGGCTTAGCATCCAGAGGTATCTCCACATCTTGCCCCCCCAGATTATAGATGTACACAAGGTTGTCATTTTTAATTGCAAGGCCAATGTAATGTTTTGCCTAAAACACCAATGGAGAAGGATGTCAGAGCTATAACATCAAAAGAGATTTAATGCAGACCATTAGCAATGGGTGGGCTTTGATATACTTAATGACATGTTTAAATATGACTAATAAACAAAAGCTTCATTCTCTAAGTGGTTTCTTTCACCAGATAAAACTGTACAGAAAAAAAACCTCAGCTATTTTACTCTATATCCATTTTGAAGGTCATGAAATGACTGCTGACCATGAATTAGTCATGTTCAATGGGAAGCTGTTCATCAGTATTTAGCATGCAGTGTCATATGCAGGAAATAGGAAGAAGCATTTGTCTAAAGCCTAGGTATTATGCTGCAATTAAATATTCTGCCAAGAGGGGTTTCACTTGATTCATATTCAGTAGACATTCTTTTTAGAAAGCTTAAAAATAAAGGCTTGCCTTTTTTACCCTTCTCAAGTAACAGCTTGCCAGGATTATACCTGGCTTGTGAGACGTGATTTTTTTTCTTTTAGGAACCACAATTTAAAGAACAATTATTTCAAAGTAGTGATCTACAGAGTGTAGAACAGCAGCACAGGCCACAGATAAAGAACCTGCTTATCTTGTGGGCCTGTGACCTCAGAGATTTGTAATTGACACTGTCAGCAGCATAAACTGATTAAAACATATCTCACAAAAGCCAGGCGGGTGACATTAAATGCTTCAGAGCATCTTGCGACTGGCAGTGGAGATAGCAAGTGTGGCTCACAGCAGTGACAATCAAAGCAGTGCCCTGCATAGGCAGTTTAATTTGCTTTTTAGAGAGAATCCTTCATTGTTTGGGCTGAGAAGTCTCAAGGACAGGGATCTCAGCAACTCTTTGCTTATCACAGAATCAATGACAGTCAAATAGTAGACACCTCTTACTTTGGAAAATGAAGAAACAGTGAGAGGAACAACCAAGAACAAATAAGCTTCAAACCTACTTCACTTTTCTTATTCTTTTTTTTTTTTTTTTTAAATATATGTATAAAAATGTACTGAGTTATTTTCTTACATTTTGGTTTCCAAGGTACAAAATGAATCTGTCTGGAGATGCTGCCAGTTGAGGGTTGTCTTTCTGAAGCTTTATGTACAAGCTCATGGAAGTGAAAGATTTCAGTTCCTCCACGTTGATCTTTGGATTGACTTCAACAGCTGATTGGCCTCCAAACATCATAGAAACTTGGACCTACAGTTGCAAATATTCTAAGTGAGACATGTTATTGTTGCCTGTGACCATTGCAAGGTAAATGTGCAAGAATACTTAGCCAGCAGCCTTGCTTACTGCTAGACTGGATGTGGCACCTGTATATATTGGCTGTGTAAAATTGCATGTTTATAACAATCATTCCTGGAGGACATGGCAAAGAACATGAAGGGTTTTAATTTTAAAATTAATTAAAGGTCCTAATTAACTCTGCTTAAGCATATTCATAAAGTAAATTAAATTTCAGTGGGAGATAGATATGTGCTTAGTTGAATCAAGGCTATATCATTATGTATGGCATGTAATAAAATTCTTACACAGCTATAAATCTTCTACCCATAGTTTATTTCTTTGCTTTGGGAGTAGTATGACCAATCTTCTGTTCATGAGTAATCCTGTTATATTATTGAATCTACAGTGATAATAAAATTATAAAACCTGTTCATTTTAGTTCAAAATGCCTTCAGCATAACTGAAGTAATGTTTTAACACAATATGCCTGAATGACAAAATACATTTAAAGAACAGCCAAGCACTGCACACATACCAATTTTTCCTTTTCTTTTTTTAAAGTAATATGTGTGGACAGCATACTCCAACATTGTGAGCATACAATAATGCACTGAATTTTTTATCTCTCTGAATGAATTCAAACCTACTGTTTTAAATTTTGACCTTGGTGTTCTTGTTATAGAAAAACCCTCATTATTTATGTGTGATAATGAAAGTGTTTTTTCTCTATCAAATATGTGTGAGCCAAAGATTCTCTTACCCTGCAGAAAATTAACTCAAAACAAGCAAACAAAAAGAAATACTGTCGTGTCAGAGAAGTTTACATTAAATTGCCATAATTGCTACTCCTGATAACTAATGTTGCCAGCTGAGTAATGATCTATTAGCTTTAGCTTTGAATGGTTTTGTTGTTGTGACCATTTTACACACTGTGCCAATGACTTTATTATAGTCGCTACTGCAGTAACAATAGTCTACCATGAATACCATGATAATGTTAATTGCTTGCAATTAGCAACTGTAAAGATTTAAATGACCTCCATGGTGCTTTGTTTATCCAGTTTTGAGGAAGTGTGATGTCCAGGTTGGGGCTTCTACCATAACCCAAGGAAATGGAGGTTATACTAAGATGCATTTAATTATTAGCGTGAGTAACCAAAAATCCCACCCAAAGGTCTTACCTTGCTTGCTACACTTCTGGTTTGAGCAATTAACTCTCTGATCCGCCGGATGCTGGAAGAAACATTGTTTGCTGGTGCCTTCTGTTCTACACTGTGAAGTTTGTCCAGAAGTTGAGGGAAAACTTCTGTAAGTTTCTTCACTGCAGTTAGGAAAGAAGTGACAGGTTTGGGGTTTTTTTGCTTTTCTTTTTTTCCCCTCTTTGAAACACTGGTTTTGCACTAGGAAGATTTCTCCTTACCTGCTTAGGTTAACTCATCTGTCTCCTTCTGCTTTAAGAACAAGTCCTAAGTATGGCAGTGATTTTAGATAGGGAAGTGATTATAGGAATCTAATATGCAAAATTTTTTTGAAATAAGTTTGCACAAAGGAAACTCCATTTTCATAGGACTCCTAGGTAATACTGTCGTGAGCTACCTCTGCAATATTTTCCTCAAGAACCATTGCAAATGTTAATTGCTTTAACCTTTTCTTCTTCCTTCAAGGCAAACAAATGGTAAACTGAATTTTACGGATTTGGCAACTGGAGCAGAAGGATTATTTGTTCAGCATCTCACTGGGTATCTGTGGCTGTCCTGGGAACTGCATCTAAAAGTTATGGTTTATGAGCTCTACAAAATGATTGTAGGGGAGATGTATAGGCTGTTTTCCTCAGCCTTCAGCTGTGCATCTTCCCCAAAGGTAATCACCCAGACAGCAGCAATGGCTGCACAGGTGATGTGTCTCCATGTGATTCACAGTCCACTCTCATAAAAGCAACTCTGGCACTTTCAGGCTGTGGTAACAGGCCTGTACTACACAAGAGTAGAAGGCCTTAGATGATGTGTGTGCACCTAAACTGTGTTTACTACCTCCCCAACCCCAGCCCTTGTGAGTAGTAACCTTTTCAGCTTTCCTGCTTACATTTACCATGGGTCATGGATTACAGTCCTGGACCTTTGGTCTTTTGCTGCTTTGTCTTCTGGTGGTACATGTGCAAGTGTCATTGTTATTGAAGGGAAATGCAGGGGCCTTAGTGTGCTCAATGTCAGTGAAGCCCTTTCCCAGGAAGATAAGCAGAAAAATTACCAAGAAAGAAAAATAACTACCCTTAATTATAATCCAGTTTCATCACATCAGATTCCAATGACATCTTGCCCTTTGAAGGATATTTACACATCACATCATTTTTCATCTTTAATTAAAAGTAGGTACAAGTAGTTGAGTATAATGTAATGTGATTTTAGCTGCAAGCTACGTGCGTATAGGAAAGATCCAGCATTTAGAGTTAATTTTTAATGACATGGATTCGCTATAAAGGTTAAGAACAAATTTATAGGGTTTGTAGTTATATATTAGGGATTGTCAATGTGTGTCCACCTGCTCTTGTGTTCTTCCCCTCATATTTTTACTCTTGTTTGAGAATTAGAGAATTGTAGAATGGGTTGGGCTGGAAGGGACCTTAAAAATCATTTAGTTCCAAACCCTCTGCCATGGGCAGGGACACCTTTCACGAGACTAGGTTTCTCAGAGCCCCATCCAACCTGTTCTTGAACATTCCCTGGAGAAGACAGCAGAGAGGCAAGTAGAGGGGCTAATATTCAGATATATTGAGACTGTGTAGAATGTAAGAAAGGAGTAATAGACTCCGATCACTTTTCTGTGCTTCCAGTCTGTATTGACTGACTAATGACTGAAGCAGCTTTCAGCCTCATTCAACCCAGTATGAAAAGATCCCATGGACTCCTACAAGCCTTCTCTCTTTGGATAGTGCAAAAAGCCATATTTAGCTTAGTCCTGTCCTCTTTTTGCTTACATGTTTTCACTTGTGTTTTACTTTCCAAGTTCAGTCTACAAATGGCCCATACAGAGCTTTAGGCTCTCCAGTTGTTCCCATTAAGTCCTGAAAGGCCTTATGTGCTGGGGGTCAGTAATTAGATATTCTGTATAAAGCTTGCTGCACATTAAAATGCCATTATTTTAGCAAGTTCTCAAAGCACTACAGTGTAATATGGGTAACACAATAATCCCAAAATGCATTAAAATTTCTACTTAAAAAACCCCCAACCCAAACCATACCAACTAGTGTAATAATCAACTTACAGAAAGTTTTCTCTACCTTTTGAAATGAATCTTCCACTGCATTGGAAAAAAAGCCCAGATTATGTTTAAGGTAAAAAAATTTACAAGTTCAGAATATGATTTAGCAAATTTCAACCACCATTTGAAAAAAAATAATCTGCAAATAAATTGGAATTGTGTTTTATCTGATGTCTTTCAAACCTGTTTGAAATTTGACCTATTAAACTTGAAACACTACTGTAACATGAAAACACAAAACTAATGTCTATTACTACCAGAACTATTATAAAATCCCTTCCTCTTGTCCTTTATAATGACATCTTCAGCACAGAAGAATACTGATTTTTGATTTTAGTCTTTGGATGATGGTGAGGCTGAAAAAGGTAAACTAGTCTTACCCAGTGATAAAATATAAAAAAGAATAAAAGGGAAACTATCAAGGAGGAAATACCTTGATTATAACCTTTCAGATACTTTCTCCTTTCATAGTTTCCTTCCCAAACTGTCCTTCATCCTGTCTGCTGAAGCCTACCAGTTTCCTGTACACTGGCAACATGGATATTTTCATACAAACTGCGCAGCCAAGACAGGCTCTCACCCTTCCAAAGGTGCAAGCTTTATTCAAAGGCAATTCAGACATGCCAGCTACTATGGTAGTGTTATTGGAATGATGATCAGGTGTTTTGGTGTTCCAGGCATTTCAACATTTGTTGTGACTTTCTTTTGTACTTTGATGGGCATTGCTCCTGTCAGATCAACGTCTCCTGGCAAAATACACAGCTGATCTGGGAACACTCCACTGTGCCCAGCATGTCTACATCTGTCTTCCCAGGCTGTGAATCACAGTCGCATCTGTCTGGAGCACTAGTTCTGCCAGCCTTGTGTGTAGCACCGATCACTCTTCTCAGCTATTTCCACCTGATCCTTCTGGCAAAAAAATAATCATCATACCTTAAAACAAAACCCAAATGTCTTCAAACCAAAAAATGCCATGGAAAAGCTGCCTCCACAAATGTACTAGGGCACACCTTGCTGTAGTTTGCATATTAACATATCTCCAACAGGTAGTTTGTGGTCAGCAGGCCCTCCAGGCACTCTGATATCAACACAGTATTTTCAAGGTGTCTCTCTACCTGCAAACCCACATCACAGTGAAGACATTTTTGCCAGGCACATTATGTAGGAGCTGAACTGTTCTTTAGAACTTGTGGTGCATTTACCATGCATGCCTTTTTGGGAACATAATCAACTAGGAGTGCTGAGCCATCTTTAATCTATCCACTCTTATGGAGCATCTCAAATGCTACTGGAAATATTTCTTCCAGTACAACAGCTAATATGAGCAGATTTTTTGAATCCTGAATGTCTTCTGATGTTTTGAGCATGAAGAGCCAAATGCAGTTTGTGTTGCTGCTCTATCTACTAAGCTGGCACAGGTAAATGTTAAAATTAAATCAAGTATAAAGGTGAATAAAAACTAAAACCTTCATGTGTAAGTTATAGAAGACTGTTTCTCTTGGATGTTTTCCCTCATACCGTTCCTTCCTGGGAAGCCAATCATATCCACATTTACATTATCTTAAATGGGATCTGGAGCTCACAGCCCATAGCTTGAACTGCTCTGTAGTGATCAAAAACATTTTACAGCAATGCAATACAACTGCTGTTATATTAACCACACTCCTATGGAGCTCTGTGCAGTGACTAACAATGAGCTTACTCATTCCCAGAGGGAGAGGCTTACTGTTTCCTTTGGATGAAAAGCTCAGAGAAATCTGAGTTTCCTTCAGTTCTGGAGCCAGAAATTGGGATATTGAATAGTACGGAATTTCTTCTTGTGGAGGAAATGACTTCTTTACCACTTCTTAGGACTACTCACTTAACCAAAAGTACTAGTGTAAGGGTCTTTTCATTACTGAATTCTGAAAATAACATGACTCTTGGTTTTTCCTGGCCTAGAGGGAAGAGTGTGACTCTGGGACACTAGAAACAATGTTGGGATGGGTACTCATAACACCATTTGCAGTAAAATGACACTCGAGTTGCAAAGTTCCTGACAAAAGGAGAAGGGATACAGAGCAGTAGCTCTGAGATTCAGACTTTCTGGAGGTAGAGCCAATGGCTTATGAACCTTCTCTGCAGCACTTTTAGGAGGCAAGACATCACTGAACAGTACTGCACGTCATCAAATGCTGAAGGAAATTTCATGTTCTGGATCTCTAACTTCCCTAGCCATAAATATTTTGGGATTAGGGAGCCTCCTGAGAAGATCAGGAATACAATGAGCAATAAATAGTGGTCCTTGTCACCAATATTTTATTCCAAATATTTTCATTTATAGGTTGATTATTTTCTTTCCTAATTGTTCTTTTCCTTCTTTCAACAGTCACATCATTTCAGCTTCACTCTCCCTCCTCTTTTACCCACCTTTGCCTATCATCTCAATTTCAATTTTATAGCCTGCCTTAGTTTTTCTTTTGTCTTTTTTTTACCTTAAATTTTTCATTAGAAGTTTTCCAATGTTTACTTTTCTCCTCTCCCAATAATAAAAGTGGAATTAATGTGATGTTTACAAGCTTTTGCAGCAATCACCCTGCTTAAATATTTTATTTCCTCCTTAATCCTCTCTGGTCCCTTTGTTGAGACTACAATCAAAACACCATTTCTCCTCCACATTTGTACTACTGAGGACCAAATGGCTCTGTTTTCACATGCCTCCCTATGTTAAAAAACAAACCCCCAAAACTATATCACCAATCACAATGGCAAGAAGTGTTTAAACAAGCTGTCTGCCATTCAGTCTGACCTCAGTACCCCCCCAAAAATGACTTAGAAGACAATAAGTCTTTACACTTTAGTGTTTAAGTAACTTTTGGAAATGCCCCAATATCCAACAGGTTTAAAATATTGTCAAGACTCTAGATAACTACTAATTTCTGAATTGTTTTCATGGAGGTAAAATGCTAGAAAGTTATATGCAACGAATATGCAATGTAAACCATTCATACAACAAGATGCTGTGAGCATTCCCTGACTTTTTCATGCTAAGGAATGGCAGAATTCAGGTCACCATACCTGCATCCCCAGCTGAATGCACGGCGCTGTCATATGCCTCTGAATTGTGCTGAAAGTCTTGCAGGTTTTGAGACCACAACCTCAAGTTCTCATCCATGGGGGTTGTAGCCTGTGTCACTGTCATGGTGTCACTTACAGCCTTCTCAGTCTGCAGTTTAGCTTGTTCCAAACGCTCTCTGGTCTCTGCTACAAAATAAATAGGGAACTATGAGAGACAAACTCTAAACGCGTTCTATTTCCATTCCACCCACCCCCCAACCCCCCCAGGTTCTTCCTTTCTCCTCCAGTTTATAGGCTGAGAACGATGTCATATTGGTATATACTTTTGGTCAGTCAGGTTCAGATATCCCAGCTGTGTCTCTTCCTGATTTCCCATGCATCCCCAGTCTCCTCACCAGCATGGCAGTATGAAAAGCAGAAAAGGCCTTGGCTCTGTGTAAGCACTGCTCAGCAGCAACAAAACCATCTCTATATTATCTACATTGTGTTCAGCACAAATGCAAAACACAGCCCTATATTAGCCACAGCGAAGAAAATTAAACACCCCAGCCAAAACCAGCACAAGGATCAAGAAGAATGCTAATCATTTCAGGTGCCAAAACATTATGAATGTGTTAAAGCTGAATGTTTGCTATCTAGGTCTAGTAGTTTGAGTCAAATTTCTTTAGGTGTCTCTAGAACTGAAACCTTAATAGCAACTTCATAGACCATATGCAAAGATTAAAATATGCTCTTGTATGTATGAAGATGAAGCATTATAAAGATGAACTTCCTCCTGCAACCTGTCTCTGCTGATTGCATTTTTGTGATGGCTCTCATCAGTTGGCTTCGCAGAGCATTCATTCTGGCAAAAGTGCCATTAACCTGCCAACTAGTGTCCGCAATGCTATAATCGTTACCTGTGGGGAGAAAATAGGAATTGGAGTTGAGTGGCATCAAAAAGGTATTTAGAAAGGTAAATTTAATTCTGTGGAGGTATGTTATTAGGCATTTAATACACCACAGACAGTACATCAGTATAGGACATAGTATTACCCTTGACATCACATAATCTAAAGGAAAAAGCCTTGCAGGTCCTAGGCACTATTTGCTTTCCACAAGGTGTTTTAGAAAAATCTGGAGATCTGTATCTCAGTCAGTACTATCTCTCTTTGCTTTAACAGAAATGCTGAGAACAGCTGCAGCAGCTATACAGGAAAGGTTTTAAGGAACTCAAAAGGTCCTGAAAAATTGGAAAGGTAATTCTGTACTTTTGGAGCTTTCTTTCATTTACGGTGAACAAAGGCTAAAATCCTTTATATTTATTATTATCCTTCACTGGTAAAATCAGATTTTTGAACACTTAAACTGTTGTGTTTTTTTTTTTTATTTGAACTACTTAAACTGAATATATTTACCAGTAAACAACTGCTTGCAGGGTCACATATTTAAACAGTAGTTGTGACTGAAATGGTCCTTTTATGAATGAAATAAACTTTCAGCATTTGGCAGGATGACGATACATGAACTACTCAAACTGCACTTGTGGCCATTTCAAGCACTTTCTGTGGTCTCTTTGATCAATAACCTATTCTGTTTCAGCAGTAGCTCTGCCTTAGTGATGTGTTTTTTAAATTTATTTTTATGTGCATGCCTTTAAGCCAACTGGAAAAGTAGAAAGGATGTATATTTACTGTCATATGCTGTCCGTTGTAGCTGCATGGCTTGGATGAGAAGTTCTTCACTTTTACCTTTATGGTAAATGACCTGAGTATCAATTCCAACTGCAGCCTACAAGTATGTTCCAAAAGAGAAAGTCAGAATAATGCTTATCAAATGTTCTGCTTTACTGTGTTTAGTTGTGGACAACATATTACCTGCATATAAATGCAACTGCAAAGTCACTGCAGTTTCATTTGCTTTGTTAACATTGAAGATTGGGAGCTGGATAGAAAAAAAAGTTTGAAAAGCAAAATTTTCTGTTTTAAAAAACTTTGGAGAAATATATGGTTTCCCAGATGACATCGCTGAATTACAAAGATGCAGAAAGCACAAAAATCCTCTTAATTTATCAGCTCCAGTTTAGTCAAGGTGACACACATCTTGCAAGTTAGTTAGGTACTGTGACTATTCTCTACTGTCATCTCAGCTAGGTGATGAATACTTGCACTGCATTAGGAACTGCCTTGCAGTCTGCAGTCCCATGCTGGAAACAGAGGTCTGGACTCAAAATCCCATGGCCCTTTGGGGCTCAGGCCCCTTTAATCTACCCAAATCCTCTTGCTGTCCCACTAATAAACTGCTGGTAAATAGCATGTATGTAGGTTGGAAACTATACATAAAAAATTACATATAAAAAATATTTTAGAACAGCAAGAAAATTAGCATCCTGCACTGTGTGTGTGAGTGGGCTATGTGCCCCATTTTAGCTTGATTTCTATGAGAAACAGTGATGCTTCTGTTAGATGTCTTTACCACCTTTTCTGCCACATGGTGCTGAGTGGAGCAGGAGAACTCGAGCACTAGTCAGATCAGGTTTCTAAAGGGCCAGGGAGTTATCTAGATATGCACAGAAATGTTACAATACGAGTGACAAGACAGAGCAGCATCACCCTATGGGATAGGGACAGAAGAACCTTGTTGTGTCTTCAGGGGACTTCAGACTTGGCAGAATAATTAACCACATGGGATCTTAATTCAGGAACTAATAAAGTAAAAAAAAAAATGCAGTGAGACATTCAGTGCTGCCAGTTAAGCTAAATCTTGTTTTTCCTTTACACTTAGGTGTCTGAAGTCCCTGAAGCATTGCAAAGTAAAAGGTGATACTATGAAAATTACTTACATCTTTGACCCTGTTTGTTGTGTTCAGTGCCAGCAATGCAGCTTTATTAGCTTCTTCAATATAACCAGCAATGTTTTCATACACATTGGAAGCATTGATTGCCCTTTGAACCAAACCATTTGAATCAACACCATACAAATTCCTGTTAAAAAGAGTGTAAAAGAAGAAATAATCTAAACGGAATCTAAACAGTTTCAAATGAATTAATTTTCTTAACATTCTGTGAATTCTGACTACATAATCCCACAGATAAATACACCTGACCTCAGTGGTATTCTCTTCATTTTGTATGACCAATCTGAAGCAAGTGAAAACTATGTGAGCAGAGGGTAATTCCAGTAGTTTAACTCTGGGAATTTTGCCCTTAACATCTATGTGAGCAGCAACAAGCGACTGCTGAGCTTTTATCTTATTTTTTTTTTTTAAATCTAGATTAGATATTCCATAAATTAGCAGGATAACAGATCTATCAGTAGTCCTTCTTTAGGAATAACCCCTGGAAAGACCTGTGTGTGCCAGTGCCCATGCAGCTGTATCACTGGCCTGTGTATATTTTTCAAAAGTAGGTGGGAAAAGGGGGAAGATCAGTGAAGAACTACCCATGGCCATAAAACTTTGCCAGAAGTTAGATTTAAGAAACACAAGGTGACTTTGATGGTGTGGCAGAGCCTGATCTTCAGAGGAGATTCCAAACAGCAGTTGGCTCAGGGCTCAGCCTTCAGCTGCTAATGATTTTGAGTAAATATTACTTTTTAGTGTTTTGGTGATAAGCAGATTTCAGAGTATATGTTAGGGACAGATTCTACATATATATATGCATGTGTGTGCATTCACTTCAAAGTGTTTGCACACTGAGGGATTATTAAGTTTCCAAATTCAACATTATTGCAAGAATTTTCTGCTATATTCCCCTAAGGCAAAACAATAAACTCTATCAAATAAAAGCCTAACAGGCTAATAAAGCAAACCTATAAAACCAAAATGATTTAAAGACAGGCTAAGTGTTTTAAAGGATTAGAGTTTCACTGCAGGACAATCTTCTCAACAAATATAAAGTCAGCATGCTTCCATCTGGATATTTGCAGTTATTTTTGTTTGCTTTTTCTGAAATTCCTAATTATTTTGGGGAGGGAGCAAGGCTTGCCATATGGGGCATTTTCCTTTGAGTGATTCTGCTGCCCCCAGTTAGCTGATCTCAGACTGAACATATTGTTTGGTTTTTAGGTTGTCTGTAGTCTGTGTGGCATTATAGAATAGTTTCAGATGTCAGCTTTATACAATTGTATAAAAGAAAACCATCTGTTGTGTTTTTCCCTATTTTAATCTCCTATCTAGGGCATTAAGAAACAACTGGTATTTAGATAATATACTTGAGGAGTTGTTTTAAGTTCATCTTCCAAAAGCAAATGTCCCTGATGTTACTCAAGGTATAATTTGGTGACATATTTTTTTTAAGAATTAATTTACAATAGTGATTTTTCCATGGGTTGTCCCAGTTGCAAATAAAGTAATATTTCAAATCTGTCTAGAAGTGACTTTTTAGTAAATTGGTGCGATGTTGATGCATTTAATATCTTACAGCAAAACAGAAAGACTTACATTAAGTTTTTGGTGTTACTGTGGGCCAGTTTCACCAGGACACAACCTACTGAGTACCAGATGTATTCCACCTGTAAACTAGTTCTTGAACAAAAGTTATCTCCCAGCCCATTTTGTGTCCTGTAATGCTAAACTTTTTTTGATGTGAATGACCTTACTGACATGAGCTGTATCTGCAAACCCCATTTCATCTGCCTATATTATTTTACTTTTCAGTGATCTACCCTTTCTGTTCTTTTGCTATGGGAAGAGAAGTACATGCACGATTAGAAAAGAGAGAATGTTATGCAATGTATATGTTTACTCTTTAAAAAATTTCATAGATTTTGCTTAGCTCAACTTCGACTGTCCCTCTGGACCATGGCAAGTCCTTCTCTACGTGACTTAACACTGGTGAGTTTAGTGCCTATTTATTGTCACTATGTTTCTGCTTGTCTTGTAGTTCACTCAGCTGTTCAGTAAGTAGCACTTGTATGAACAGAGTCTGCTGAAGTTAAGTTTTACCCTTCCAGCTCATCAGCAAGTCTTCTTAGGTTGTGTGCATGATCCATAGCCTTTTCTACCAAATCATCATCAAAGAGAGACAGATTGGCTATTTTGTCTTGCAATTCCTTTCTTGCTCCATCTATTTCTGCGTAGAACCCTGACGCGTTCTGAACAAAATATGGAAGGAAAGAAGATGAAAATTGTCAAAATCAAGTCTGTATTTTGATTATTATGTCTTATCTTACCCTTTATATTATTATAATGATCTTTATTTTTTCCTGTTATATTTGTTTTATGTTACATTTTTAAGAAAAAAGAGGAAAGAACTAAAGATGAATGTCAGTATGGCAAGACAAATGTAGGAAGATAAAACTCAACCAAAATTCCAGGAATCCCTTAAGTAGATATTAGAAAAACAGGAATAAAATACAAAATAAAGAGAGCTGATGCATATGGCTTCAAAAAATCAGGACATATCATTTAAACAAGCCACTGAAGCACTTACCTTTATTATCTCACTTAGCTCAGAGCTGATCTTTTGTGGTCCTTCCAAAATAGTGGTGGCACTGAGCAGAGTGCCATTCACTTCATCTATTTGGTCTTTTATTTTCTCATGTTTTTTCTAAAAAAACATAAATCACATCCAATATAATTTGTGCATTTATAAAATACAGTGTTACCATTTTTTCTTAAATGTGTTAAAGTTAATTCAGAAGATAGTGATGAACTGAATGGATCTTAGACATATCTGAAGTCTGATTTTCCCAGACATCTCTAATAGCTGCATATTATAATGTGGTTCTTTGAATTATTTTGCTTTTCTGGAGAAATGTTGGGTGATTTCTTTTTAAATTTATTGACTTCATTTGATGTTACAGCATAAGCTGTTATTGGAATTAAGCATTATTCAGTGCACTGCCAGCAGAGACAAATTAAACATGGATTTTTCATGGTGATCTGGAGACTAGTATTTTTCTCTGGAGTTTTTAAAAATCTACAGTACAGAGATTTCTTTTCCTTGTCAGTAGTAAAGCCAATATGAATGATCTCTTTTGTGCAGCATCTGCCTTCATTATGAGGACTAATGAAGATCCAACTGGTTGAAAACAGTGAACAAATGTGTCTACACACTTCAGGCTTTGCTTCATAAATGTGAGACAAGCTGCAGCTTGGCACTGTAATTACAAAACAATGGAACAACAGAAGAGGCTTTGTCCTTAAGGATCCCCAGCTCTTGTAGAAGGATTCGCGAGGACGCACGCCTGGTTTCTGTACTGAATTACGAGACCTTCCACGTCAGCATGAACTTCTAGCACTGCAAATTTCTAGAGCTCAAAACTCAGCCACTGATGCTATGAAACCCAGAGGTTGGCCTGAATTTGTAAGATTTTTCTTCAAATCACAAAATTGCTCCCTAACCCTCTCTCCTCCAGAATCCATACAATTTCAGCCATTGAAATGATCACAGTTTTCTTCAAATGGTCACAAATTGTTCTCTTTGTCATTTCATTGCTTGCTGGAAAAAATAAATGAGAAGATTTAGGTGGGATATTCTGGTTTAACAATCCTTAAAGGGAAATTAAGAAAACACTGAAAGGATCTCAGAATGGCTAGAAAGAGAAAAAAGATAGTCTTTTTTTTTTTTGTGTGTGGTTGATGGATTTGGTACTTTTCTTGGATCAGAGACATGAAAAATCAATTTCCTCTTCGGCCATATGGGATTTGAACCTAATACCACCGCTTGCAGGCAAACACATCCCACTTCCATGCTGTAGGGGATAGATCTCCTCTGAGCTCTGCTCTGCAGTGGTTACTTTGTTCAAAATACTGGAACTATTCATTTGAACGGGCATAGGGGTAAACTGCTGGAGCCTTATAGCTGGGCTGTTCATGCAGCAAGTAGGAAACCCAACTGCAAGGTGTCTATTGAGGAGCAATTAGTCAATGCATTTGTACTTGAAGATGCAAGGACAGCTGTCTACTCTTCCTGAAAAAGTTGCTCTGCAGTGGTTACTTTGTTCAAAATACTGGAACTATTCATTTGAACGGGCATAGGGGTAAACTGCTGGAGCCTTATAGCTGGGCTGTTCATGCAGCAAGTAGGAAACCCAACTGCAAGGTGTCTATTGAGGAGCAATTAGTCAATGCATTTGTACTTGAAGATGCAAGGACAGCTGTCTACTCTTCCTGAAAAAGTTTCATTTCG